AAAGTATATGCAGCTGTTGATTCCAGCTTAGTTATTTCAGCTGAGACTTTCTCAGCTTAGGCTTCTAATTCAATTGCCTCCATTTCACAGATGGAAAAATTTGAGACAGATGCTGACTAGCTCAAGGTCACAGGCAGTTGGTAGCAGTCAAGGTTAGAGGTGATAAGACTGGAAACAGGAGCAGGGAAACAGCAGAGTGCCGGTACATGGGTTCTAAAGCTAGGACACCACCCAGAAAACAGCCAGGGGTTACCTTAGTTCTGTGGTTCTCTGCATTCAGCCCCTCATATAGAAATTTGTCAAAAGATATTTCACCAAGGATCTGCAGTTCAGTTATACTTCTTAATAACTATGGGGGGGAGGGGCGGGAGAGACATGTGTTAGACATGGACTTACTGTTTTTGTACAGCATTCACCATCTTTACTTTAAACATATGCCTTCTCTAGTACTCCTTAGACTAGTTAATGACTTCGGTAACCACAAAGTTACCCAAGCAAGAAACCTAGTTATTCCTCAACTTCTTTTTCCTTACCCTTTACCACGTCACACCCTCACTCATCCACCCGCCCAAAGTCAGTTTTTGACAATTCTTCCTTTTTTGAGCCTGTCTTGCACTTGTCCCTTTTTCTCCGTCTCCATAGCTACTTCTTAGCTCATAGCTCATCATTCTCACCTGGATCATTGCAAGATATTAAACTAGATCATAGTTTCCACTTTTGAGAGACTGATTAGGGAAAGCCTAAGAGGGTAATATCTGAGCTAAATATTAGAAGAAATCACACACATAAAGATCTGGGAGAAAGGCAGTGTCATGCAGAAGGAACAGCAAGTACAAAGGTCCTGTGGCCAGAACAATAATAGCAAGCTGGAGGAACAAAAAGGACAGAATAGCTGAAGTGTAAGAAGCGGGGAGGAGGAGAGTACTGGACAAAGTTAAAGAAGAAATTCAGACCAGATTATGTAGTGCCTTGCAGGCCACTGAAAAGGTATGAATTCTAGTCTAAGTGTATGTAAAAGCATAACGTGTGCTTTTAAAAGACAGCCGTTATGTGAAGAATGTTGAGAGAGGGCACAGCAAGAGCAGAGGCAAGAAAAGCAGANGAAGAACAAAACGACAGCAACTTGTCTGTTCCCCTTCCCCCAATTCCCCAGCACTGTTCCCATCCCCCCAATTCCCCAATAAAAATCTTTAAACATAGAAAAAGTTACCAGGCATATCAAAAGACAAAAAACACAATTTGAAGAGACAGAGCAAGCATGAGAACCAGACATGGCCAGGATGTTGGAATTATCAGACTGGGAATTTAAAACAACTATGATTAAAAAATGTTAAGGACTCTAATGGATAAATTAGGCAGCATGCAAGAACAAAGACAAAAAACAGATAAGCAATGCAAGTGGAGATGGAAATCCTAAGAAAGAACCAACAAGAAATGCTAGAGATAAAAAAATATTGTGACAGAAATGAAGACTGCCTTTGATGGGCTCATTACTAGACTGAACGTGGTTGAGGAAGAATATGAGCTAAATCAATAGAACCCTCAGAGAACAAAAACTGGGAAAAAACCCAGCACAATAAAATTATCTAATGACCAAAATACTTCATAGAAACCACTTTGGTTTCTAATATAGAAACAGAGCTCAGTCTGTCAGGAGATTGTGACCTTTTGTCAAGGATTCTCTGACAGTTTAACAGAGGGTCCCAAAGGACTAAGGTCTCTAGGTTTTAAAGAACACTAGCAGAAAATCAAGATTTTACATTCAGCTATTATACACCCTCAAGACCCAAGCTCATCATCTTCAAAATAATGACCTAATTTAAATGATCTCTAAGTCCTTTCCAACTTTGTTCTGACAGCTCTTTTTGAGCTTGCACAAATCCCTGAAGTCTGATAATACATTTTTCCCACACAAAAGATATGACAAAGATACTGATCTGCTCTTCACCAGACTAATGTGTATGTTACCTCAGAGAGGCAATAATAAATGCAAAACAGCATCCATGTGTACAGCTTGTAGGGCTCTCCCATTAAGAAGCCATTCCCAGCATTGTTGTCTAAAGGCTCTCTCAATTTCAGATTCTAAGCTTTCTTCTTACTGATTGGATTCAGCCAGAAAGCTCAGGGGACATGCTTCCCAAGTGAGACCCAGATATGGCCCTCCCAGTGTGGCCAGCATACACACCACGGCCAGAGCATGCTCCCAGTAAGGCCAAAGGGCCACCGAAACTTCTCTGCCTTCCCTAAACACTGAGTTTCTTTCACGCAAGTGTTTTAAGCACCAAGGTCAGTGATGCTTTAGAGAGAAATTCTGTATGGGGTGGAAGTCTGGGCAAATCTATGTTTAAGACCTCTTCTAATTAAGTAACAAATGCCGGTTACTTGTAGGGTTGACACGCTAAGCACTATTTACGTAGCTGAACTTAGTAAAAATAAGTTCTGGGCCTAGAGAATAGGAGGGAGCAAAGCAACAGAGAGGGAGGAAGAACAAGAAGAGAGCTGGTTTTTTCTTCTATGGAAGAGTGAAGTGTGTCGGGGGGAAAGGGCTTGAGAACCTGAGTTCAGGAAAGTAAACCCAGGTCAGATTTGAATAGAAGAAATGCTCCTATTTCTCGAAGCCTCTTCCCTTTTCCCTATTCCAAACCCACAGGTTTCTAAAGTGCCCCAAAGCTGCCCTGGTAGAGGTGACGGAAGCAGCAGCACACAGGATACCATTGCTTGCAGCAAACATTGACGGTGGCCTACTCCACAGCCATGCTCTCCTTTTAGGTTTTACTCAGAAATCATGACTGGTCTAAGGTAGTCATGACAAAGCTATTCCCCTTTGCCCGTGACTGACATGAGATCCAGTTCTCATATGATATTAGGAAGTATGTGCTGGAGGTTTTTAGGAACACTTTCCTCCACGAAAAGGGAAGGCACATGAGGAAACGATCCTTTTGCTACTGACCTCTTGCTTTCTACGTTGTATTCTGCCACGGGGAAAGGTGGCAACTCTGTGTTGGCCATGAGGGAAGGCATCACCAACACACAGATGTGTGTACAAGCTTCCAAGGAGCCAGGCCGCTGACAGGTCTGCCTCCCTCACTAGATGTAAACAACAGATGCCTTTCCGATACATTAGCGGGAGTCTTCCTTTACTTGCAACTGAAATGCACTTGGATGCACAGCTACTTATGTTCACAGATTCATTATAAGTTAGGTGCTTGTTGTCAGGAACTACTTAATACTTTGCTTAGGGTATTAAATTTAAAGAAAGAAAAATAGTTTAGGGGAAATTCCACTGTAGAAATAAAAGTATCGGTAAGTAAGAAGTATATAAGTAAATTATTTAAGAATGTGCATATAAGAAACTGTTAACAATAACTCCCTTTGGGAAGAGGAAGTTGGGGGCGTGGGAAGGGGGGGAGTGAAGGAACCCTATTTTTCATTTGGTATCTTTTTGTACGGTTTGGATTTTTTTGCCATTACTTCTCTTTTTCAAAAATCTGGGCAGTGGAAGGGGCCAGCTGAGTGGCTCAGTTGGTTAAGAGCGCACTCAAGAGTTTGAGCTCTGAGCAACAGCGGTTCAATTCCCAGCCTGAGCTGAGCTGCCAACAGGTGGCAGGATTGCTCAGCTAAAAAAAAAAAAAAGGGTAAAAATCTGGGCAGTGGGAGAATGGGGCACTTCTCTTTCTTCCACATAATTTTCTGTATTATAAATGCTTAAAAATAAAAGGAAATGTTATTTCTGACATGTCCAGAGAACTGCTTTCTCCTACTTCTCCAGGGAGGAAATCAGAGGACCTAATACTTAGCAATGCAGTCTCACTCTCTTGACATTCCTTCCAGCAATGAATGATGCCTAACTAAAAAGAACTCACAGATGGATGATCTCTGAAGCCAGCAGCACGTCTAGGTGAGTGTCAACAAGAATGACAACTCAGGGGAGCACACACAGCATTTACCCTGCAGACCACAGACATCAGTTGGACTTGTAGTGATACCTCTGCAAAACCAATCCCACAGTTCTAGTGCTCAGTCTAAGAACTATCAAAGGAGTATACATTTCTGAGTATTATAACTGTTTAATACTCTAACCACTGATACGACACACTAGGGAAAGAGTTAATGCATACAAAAAGTAATTTCTCACTTTGGAAATTAAAAAAAAAAATACCTTTTCAGGTCAAAGTATATGCAGCTGTTGATTCCAGCTTAGTTATTTCAGCTGAGACTTTCTCAGCTTAGGCTTCTAATTCAATTGCCTCCATTTCACAGATGGAAAAATTTGAGACAGATGCTGACAAGCTCAAGGTCACAGGCAGTTGGTAGCAGTCAAGGTTAGAGGTGATAAGACTGGAAACAGGAGCAGGGAAACAGCAGAGTGCCGGTACATGGGTTCTAAAG